AGAAAGAAAGAGGACGACGCAAGAGAGAGAGGACGACGCGGGAGAGAGAGGAGAGACGCGAGAGAGAAGACGATGCGAGAGAGAGAAGACAATGCGAGAGAGAGAGAGGACGATGCGATAGAGAGAGAGGACGATGTGAGAGAGAGAGAGGACGATGTGAGAGAGAGAAGATGACGAGAGAGAGAGAGAGAGAACGAAGCAAGAAAGAGACAAATGACGAGGCGAGAGAGAGGACGACGCGAGAGAGAGGGAGCACGATGCGAGAGAGAGGGAGCACAACAAGAGAGAGAGGATGACGCGAGAGAGAGTGGACGACGCGAGAGAGAGAGGACGACGCGAGAGAGAGAGAGAGGGCGAGGCGAGAGAGAGGACGACGCGAGAGAGAGAGAGAGGGCGAGGCGAGAGAGAGGACGACGCGAGAGAGAGAGAGAGGGCGAGGCGAGAGAGAGGACGACGCGAGAGAGAGAGAGAGGGCGAGGCGAGAGAGAGGACGACGCGAGAGAGAGAGAGAGGGCGAGGCGAGAGAGAGGACGACGCGAGAGAGAGAGAGAGGGCGAGGCGAGAGAGAGGACGACGCGAGAGAGAGAGAGAGGGCGAGGCGAGAGAGAGGACGACGCGAGAGAGAGAGAGAGGGCGAGGCGAGAGAGAGGACGACGCGAGAGAGAGAGAGAGGGCGAGGCGAGAGAGAGGACGACGCGAGAGAGAGAGAGAGGGCGAGGCGAGAGAGAGGACGACGCGAGAGAGAGAGAGAGGGCGAGGCGAGAGAGAGGACGACGCGAGAGAGAGAGAGAGGGCGAGGCGAGAGAGAGGACGACGCGAGAGAGAGAGAGAGGGCGAGGCGAGAGAGAGGACGACGCGAGAGAGAGAGAGAGGGCGAGGCGAGAGAGAGGACGACGCGAGAGAGAGAGAGAGGGCGAGGCGAGAGAGAGGACGACGCGAGAGAGAGAGAGAGGGCGAGGCGAGAGAGAGGACGACGCGAGAGAGAGAGAGAGGGCGAGGCGAGAGAGAGGACGACGCGAGAGAGAGAGAGAGGGCGAGGCGAGAGAGAGGACGACGCGAGAGAGAGAGAGAGGGCGAGGCGAGAGAGAGGACGACGCGAGAGAGAGAGAGAGGGCGAGGCGAGAGAGAGGACGACGCGAGAGAGAGAGAGAGGGCGAGGCGAGAGAGAGGACGACGCGAGAGAGAGAGAGAGGGCGAGGCGAGAGAGAGGACGACGCGAGAGAGAGAGAGAGGGCGAGGCGAGAGAGAGGACGACGCGAGAGAGAGAGAGAGGGCGAGGCGAGAGAGAGGACGACGCGAGAGAGAGAGAGAGGGCGAGGCGAGAGAGAGGACGACGCGAGAGAGAGAGAGAGGGCGAGGCGAGAGAGAGGACGACGCGAGAGAGAGAGAGAGGGCGAGGCGAGAGAGAGGACGACGCGAGAGAGAGAGAGAGGGCGAGGCGAGAGAGAGGACGACGCGAGAGAGAGAGAGAGGGCGAGGCGAGAGAGAGGACGACGCGAGAGAGAGAGAGAGGGCGAGGCGAGAGAGAGGACGACGCGAGAGAGAGAGAGAGGGCGAGGCGAGAGAGAGGACGACGCGAGAGAGAGAGAGAGGGCGAGGCGAGAGAGAGGACGACGCGAGAGAGAGAGAGAGGGCGAGGCGAGAGAGAGGACGACGCGAGAGAGAGAGAGAGGGCGAGGCGAGAGAGAGGACGACGCGAGAGAGAGAGAGAGGGCGAGGCGAGAGAGAGGACGACGCGAGAGAGAGAGAGAGGGCGAGGCGAGAGAGAGGACGACGCGAGAGAGAGAGAGAGGGCGAGGCGAGAGAGAGGACGACGCGAGAGAGAGAGAGAGGGCGAGGCGAGAGAGAGGACGACGCGAGAGAGAGAGAGAGGGCGAGGCGAGAGAGAGGACGACGCGAGAGAGAGAGAGAGGGCGAGGCGAGAGAGAGGACGACGCGAGAGAGAGAGAGAGGGCGAGGCGAGAGAGAGGACGACGCGAGAGAGAGAGAGAGGGCGAGGCGAGAGAGAGGACGACGCGAGAGAGAGAGAGAGGGCGAGGCGAGAGAGAGGACGACGCGAGAGAGAGAGAGAGGGCGAGGCGAGAGAGAGGACGACGCGAGAGAGAGAGAGAGAGGACGAGGCTTGAGAGAAACAGAGCACGACGCGGGAGAGAGACAGAGCACGACGTCAAAAAGCGAGAGAGAGCACGACGCGAGAGAGAGGACAAGGCGAGAAAGAGAGAGACAGGACGAGGCGCGCGCGAGAGAGAGAGGACGACGTGCGCGAGAGAACGACGCGCGCGAGCGAATGAGAGCGGAGATGACGCGAGAGCGAGCGAGAGCACGACGATGAGAGGAAAAAAAGACGACGCAAGAGCACGACGCGAGAGCGAGCACGACGCGAGAGAGAGCGAGAGAGCACGACGTGAGACAGAGCGAGCACAACTTGAGAGCGACCATGACGTCAGAGAGAGAGAGAGAGAGAGAGCATGACGTGAGAGAGCGAGCAAGCACGACGGGAAAAAAAGACGATAGAGATCACGAGACGGGAGAGAGCACGACGACACGAGACTGAGGACGACGCGACAGTGAGAAAAAGGACAACGCGAGAGAGAACGAGCACGAGGAGATAGAGAGAGCGAGCACGAGGCGAGCGAGCAAGGACAAGGCGAGCGAGGGAGACAAAGGGAAGACGAGGCGAGTGAGGGAGGATGAGGCGAGCGAGGGAGAGAAAGGTAGAATGAGGTGAGCGAGGGAGGACGAGGCAAGAGAGAGAACGACGCGCAAGAGAGGATGACGCGCGAGAGAGAACGAGGCAAGAGAGAGAAGACGACATGCGAGAGAGGAGGAGAGAGAGAAAGAGAGCACGACGTACGAGAGAGGACGACGCGCGCAAGAGAGAGGACGACGCGCGCGAGAGAGAGGACGACGCGCGCGAGAGAGAGGAGAGAGCACGACGTGCGAGAGAGGACAATGCGCGAGAGAGAGAGAACGACGTGCGAGAGAGAGAGGACGACGCGAGGAGAACGACGGGCGAGAGAGAGAGAGAGAGGACGACGCGAGAGAGAACGAGGCGAGAGAGAGAAGACGACGCGCGCGAGAGAACGAGGCGAGAGAGAGGACGCGCGCGAGAGAACGAGGCGGGAAAGAGATAGCACGACGTGCACGACAGAGAACGACGCGCGCGAGAGAGGACGAGGCGCGCAAGAGAGAGAGAGGACGAGGCGAGAGAGAGAGAGAGGACGAGGCGAGAGAGAGAGAGAGGACGAGGCGAGAGAGAGAGAGAGGACGAGGCGAGAGAGAGAGAGAGGACGAGGCGAGAGAGAGAGAGAGGACGAGGCGAGAGAGAGAGAGAGGACGAGGCGAGAGAGAGAGAGAGGACGAGGCGAGAGAGAGAGAGAGGACGAGGCGAGAGAGAGAGAGAGGACGAGGCGAGAGAGAGAGAGAGGACGAGGCGAGAGAGAGAGAGAGGACGAGGCGAGAGAGAGAGAGAGGACGAGGCGAGAGAGAGAGAGAGGACGAGGCGAGAGAGAGAGAGAGGACGAGGCGAGAGAGAGGACGAGGCGCGAGAGAGAGAGGGGACGAGGCGCGAGAGAGAGGGGACGGCACGAGAGAGAGAGAGAACCACACGACAGAAAGAGAGGAGAACGAGAAAGAGAGAGAGAACGACGTGCGGGAGAGATAGAACAACGCGAGACAGACGACGCGAGAGAGAACGACATGAGAGAAAGGACGAGGCGAGAGAGAGAGAGGGGACAAGGCGAGAGAGAGGGGACGGGGCGAGAGAGGGGGGACGGGGCGA